CGCCTCCACCAAAATTTTTAATATAATTATTTAATATTTTTAAATTACGCAGGTGTATCTTCATGAACATCTTAATTTCGACATAAAAACTGTGTTGTAGATTGTAAACTAATTAAAAACACAAAAATCCAGGCGAAAGCTAAATGTTGCAAAATATGCAGACATAAAGCCTGTGGTTATTAGGTACCCAATCTAGCTACAATATGCTGATGGTATAATTGCTAATTTAAACTTTTTTAAAAATGATTATAAATTAGTTACCTTTATTTATTCAGAAATTATAAATAATTTCACCTTCAGCGGTACTTCAAAATTACAAACCAAACAAGTTCTAATAGGCAATATTATAAACTTCGATAAGAACGTTTAACTTATCTACCTGGCTATTGCTTCTAACAAATAATAATAATAATAATAATGTAGGATTATCACAAAAGATTATTATTACAGTATCGAGAATTGTGAAATTGAATCAAATTAACAGACTGTTGAAGTTTAATTATTTTTTACCCACTTTCCATGTGCCTAACCCCAAAATTGGAATTTCCAAGCCATTATTCAATTTCAGCTTTGGTACTTGATTCGGGTTAACCATTGCAACAGCTGTATGTCCTGAAAAACACGTCCAAACGCGAATATGGTCAGAAGGTTACTAAAAATATAGCAAGCATATTATATTTATCTATAATAAATGGCATGTAACTAAATGTAACTTTCAGATAAATGTAGTATGTAACTGCATGTAATTTACAATTATGCATATCTATAATTGCTAGAATATCATCTTGTACTTTGAATGGTACAGAAAAAAAAATATAATTAATGCGTTAATGAACAACGGTCATCTATTTATTAATTTCTCCCTACCAAATCAATCATACCAAAATGTGGCTGTTTGGAAATTCCTCCATTTTCCCTTTTAGTGGGAGCTCATTCCACGGACTAACTGTCAAAAACTTTACTGCTACAGTCAGTGTTTAACAGTTCCTTAATTCTCATAAAAAAGTTAGATACACAGAGAAAATGAAAAAGGAAAATTTACTTAAGTATTAAACATGAACAGTGGGCGCGGCGGAAAAGAAAGGTTAGAAGCGTTCGAAATGTGGTGTTATAGGCGGATGATGAGGATATCGTGGATAGAGAAGGTTAGAAATAAAGAGGTATTGGAAGGAATAGGAGAACAGAGGACTCTATGGAAGTCAATAAAAAATAGGCGAGATAGGTTGGTAGGACACCTTCTCAGGCATGAAGGTCTAGTCAGAGACATAGTAGAGGCAGAAACAGGAGTTAATGGGGGGAATAGGAGAACAGAGGACTCTATGGAAGTCAATAAAAAATAGGCGAGATAGGTTGGTAGGACACCTTCTCAGGCATGAAGGTCTAGTCAGAGACATAGTAGAGGCAGAAACAGGAGTTAAGAGGGGTAGAGGTAGACTTAGATTAGATTACTGTTCGCAAATAGTTAAAGATGTGGGCTGTTCTAGTTTTAGGGAAATGCGAATTTTAGCTCAGGATAGGACAGAGTGGAGGTACGTGTCCAACCAGTCTTAGGACTGACGACTTTATGATGATGATGATGATGACGATGTTTAAAGCAATATTTACAATTTATCCCACTATCCCGTTGCTTAAGACATGTCAAAATTGAGATTATTACAAGTAACCTAATAAATTCTACTATTTCTACGGCAAATTCAGTCATTTACAATCGAAAATTTTCTCCGTGCATTCCATGTTACTCCAGCTATCCCATATTCGTTTATGGATATTTAGACTCTCCATAAGTAACTACTGACAGCATCTGTCATGGAATTTCAACTAATTCATTTACTAATTTGGCATAGGTACATGTTAAAATAGATATCGCATGAATGAAGCCCTTTTCATTCATGCCAAAATTTTTTCAACGCTACCAGATGAATTCAACATGTAAGGCTACAACTAACATTCCAATGTTGACATTTAATAATGGTAAGAAGTTCCCACTTTTCGGTTTGGGTACTTGGAAAGTACGTAAACAGTGTCTATGTTTGTCTTGAATTAAAATGTACTTTTCTTTTTCTAATTTGTCGTTCAGTCGAAACCAGGAGATGTAACGTGCGCAGTTATGTATGCCATAGACATAGGATATAGACATATCGATTGCGCTTATATTTACGGAAATGAGAAGGAAGTAGGAAGAGGTATTTCAATGAAAATTTGCGACAATACCGTCCAAAGGAACGAATTGTACATTACTAGTAAATTATGGAACACGTTTCATGAACCCTGCTTAGTCAAATCAGCAATAGAAATGACCCTTTCAAATTTAAGAATTGATTATCTGGACTTGTATTTGATTCATTGGCCCTTTGGATGGAAAGTAAGTTTATAATTCCTGAATGCCATCTCAAACTGAAATTTTCATATGAATTGAATTAATAATTTTGCAAAAGTTGTCACCTTTTCGCTTATAAGTCCGTTTTCTTCCAAAACGATAAAATGGTTTCCATTTAGAGCAATAATTTGAGAAAATACAGAAGGAAATAATGTAATATTAAAAATTGAAGAATACATATTGTGTTATAGGCAGGTGATGATCTGTTTCCAAGGACAAATGATGGAAAATCCATTTTTAGTAAGGTAGATTACGTGGACACCTGGAGAGCGATGGAAGAGGTGTGTAAGAATGGTTTAGCATTGTCAATTGGTGTTTCAAATTTTAATGAAAGACAACTCAATCGAGTTCTTCAAATTGCCAAAATACCACCAGTAACAAATCAGGTATAGTAGTTCGTAGATAGACAGCCGGTGTCTAATTGATGATGAAGAGCTTCTGGGATTTTCTGCCGTGGTCGAATTTTGATTGCAGACGTTTCGCCAGGCTTAATAGACGGCATCTTCAATGGTTGATGATGCAATGATTCAGCCGCCGATCATACATCTCGAAGCACTGAAAATGTAATATATATTAAGTATGGCGAAACGACTGCAATCAGAATTCGACCACGGCACGAAAGCCCAGAAGCTCTTCATTATCAAGTCAGGTATACTCAAATAATGGTAGACTACATTAATAAGCAAATAGACACTTGGATGATATATACCAATTGGTAAATAAATTCGCGTTGAGGAATGATGAAAGTAATAAGATAAATATTATGTTAGGTTAAAAAATGAGTATCTAAGCCACTATAGGATGGTAGTAGGCACTCGATGCTTAAAGCTAACCTTGTTACTTCCATTTCAACAATGAAGTAGAATGTCGTCATCTGTGGAGCTGCGCGCTCTCATTCTGTGGTTTAAAAAAGAGTCAGTTTGATTTGTTTTGATATAATTAAGACAAGTAATTTTCTCTTAGCGTTTTGGTGGTAATTAAATAGGTTCTGATAACTGCTATCTGTAGCTAAATGAAGTAGATATTTTGGACAAGGGTTTCACTAAAGTATGTACTTACCCAATCGAAAGTACTAAACGTGGATATCGATCTCGATATTCCGAGATCTCATGAGCCCACTACAGGCAGTCTAGGTAAATTACCGATCAAATCGAAAGATCTCATTAAACGAAATTATATTTAGCATTAACTGATGCATTTCATAATGTTAGACAAGGTCTTAGTATGGTATCTACGTACTTATCTAACTGATTGGACGAGATAATTTACATCATTTAAGACGACTAAGGTGAGTTCTTTGGACTTTAGATCGAACTTCATCCTTATCTTACTCAAAAAAACCTAACGGAGTATTGTAAATCGAGATTCGTTATGTTAACTGCATACAGCCCTCTTGGATCTCCAGACCGTCCGACGTATTCAGCAGATGAACCAGAATTACTAAAAGACAAACGTTTGGAAGAACTTGCAAAAAAGTATAACAAAACACCAGCTCAAGTATTGTTAAGATATCAAGTACAACAGAGACGTATAACGATTCCCAAATCTGTAACTCCTGCCAGAATCAGGGAAAATATGGAAATATTTGATTTCGAGATATCTAAAAGCGACATGGGATATATCGACACTTTTAACAAAAACCTGCGATTTTGTGCCTCTCTTGAGTAAACTGTTAGAAAGTTAAAACAATTGTTTACTGATGGTATATTTTTTCAGATCAGTTGGTCACGAACATTACCCTTTCACAGTGTCTCCTTGTCCTTAAATTAAGGTGTCGAGAAAGGAAAAATAGCAACCATAAGAAGCTTTAATGGTGATCGCGACTGTAACATTAAAACAATCCATTTTATTATTGATTTCTTAACTTTTGTAATTTCGCAACATTATTTCCTTATCACAGTTCTATTATCATCAAAGTAACATGACGATAAATAATATTCCATTTAGTTTTCTAATCAATTAAAAGTAATAAGTCACCCAAATCAGTTGTTATTTTCTAGAAAGCTTTTAATGTTTATTGATGGCTAATCTGCAATCAATAAATTAAAGAATCATCATCATAGGGTCTTCAGCGCACATCCACGTCTCCCTGTCTCGGAAATTAGAGCAGCTTATATCTCTGAATCATTTAACAGTAATGTAATCGATGTCTATCTATCTCAACCCCTCATAACTCTTGTTTCTGTTTCTAATATGTCTCTAACTAACCCTTTATATCTGAACATACCTCACCTACTTCTTATTGACTTCTATAACGTCCTCTATTCTCCTATTCTTTTTAATGGCCCTCGAAAGTTTGCCAATCAACAAATTGAAAAATTGATACGTCTCATTAAAAAAATATATTCCCTCGTTGATACCAAAACTAAATAATTCAAATACTGTATGTACAAAAGCAAATTATTCATATGCTGTACGCTGGAACAACGAAATCCGTAAGGAGTGTTAACACTGATGTTCAAATCCAACAGCAGGAATTTGCTAAGTGTCACTTTGTTTGGTACATATCCTAGATTTTTAAAAATATGGCACTAAAGGTATGTAGTTTATGGTTCCCTGTTTTAAATATGTATTCTACATTCCACATTACCCGGTTTAATATGTTGGGATGTATAGGGCGACATTACTGTGGAAGTCAATAAGATATAGACGAGATACGTTGGTGGGACACATTCTCAGACATGAGGGTCTAGTCAGAGACATATTAGAGGCAGAAGCAGGAGTTAGGAGGGGTAGAGTTGGGTTAGATTAGATTATTGTTCGCAAATAGTTAAGGATGTGGGATGTTCTAGCTTTAGGGAAATGCGAAGTTTAGCTCAGGATAGGAAAGGGTGGAGGTACATGTCCAACCAGTCTTAGGACTGACGACCTTATGATGCTGATGATTACTTTACTGCTATTAATACGAGGGTGGATTGATAAGTTTCCGGCCTAACCAAGAGATGACGCCACTAGGCCTACCTTGAGGTGACATTCTATAGTACCATCCTTGGATAGCTTGTAGCTATAGTTTCAGCCCGATCTCCTTGCTAGTGTAGGTTTGACAGCACGCTGAACAAGACGCCTCTGTGGTTTTCGTAAAAATGGAAAAGCAGGAAAATCGTGCTGTCATCAAATACTTTTATTTGAAGGGGTTAACGCCGAAGGAAATTAAAAAAGAGATGGACTCAACACTGGGGACATCCTCCCCGTCATATTCAACCGTTAAGCAGTGGGTTTCCGAGTTTAAAAAGGGTCGTGTGAGCACCTCTGATGGGCCTCGCTCAGGACGCCCCGTTGAGGTCACAACTCCAGATATGATCGAAAAAATTCATCAAATAGTGCTGGGAGACCGCAGATTGAAAGTGCGTGAGATAGCTGAGACCTGTAAGATGTCATATGAACGTGTGCAACATATTTTGCACCAACATTTGCATATGGAAAAGCTCTGTGCAAGATGGGTGCCGCGTTTGCTAACAGTCGACCAAAAATTGATTCGAAAAAACATTTCTACCGCAAATTTGTCATTGTATAAGCGTAATCCAAGCGAATTTTTGCGTCGATTCGTAACCGTTGACGAAACGTGGGTCCACCACTACACTCCTGAAACCAAAGAACAGTCTAAACAGTGGATTGGACCAGGGGAACCAACTCCAAAGAAGGCAAAAACAATTTTTTCGGCGAACAAGGTTATGGCTACTGTTTTTTGGGATGCAAGAGGTATTATATACATTGATTACCTTGCAAAGGGTAATACTATCACTGGTCAATACTACGCAGACTTATTGCAACGTTTGAGCCACGAGGTGAAAATTAAACGACCTCATCTGGCGAAGAAAAAAATCTTGTTTCATCACGATAACGCACCAGCGCACACGTCAATCGTTGCGACGGCTAAAATCAACGATCTAAAGTTTGAATTGATGCCGCACCCTCCTTACTCTCCAGACCTAGCCCCGAGTGACTATTTTCTGTTCCCTAATCTCAAAAAATGGCTTGGCGGTAAGAGATTTGCGGACAATGAAGAAGTAATCGAAGCTGTAAATGGTTATTTTGAGGAGCTTGACGAATCAGTCTATAGAGATGGCATTAATAGACTGGAACACCGCTATGAGAAATGTATCAGCCTTGGAGGAGATTATGTTGAGAAATAAAAAAAAAAAATTTTTAAAAACCTTGTTTTTCTTGGTCAGGCCGGAAACTTATCAATCCACCCTCGTACATTCCTTAAGTAACTATTGACAGCATTAAATGTCATGGAATAGACAATTTGTAAATATAGTTACCCAAATTGGTTTTAACATTAGTAAACTATCCTGCATCCTTTTTGTAATGAAATTGTTCACTAAGGGTACTTCATTTTGGCCAAATTTCTCTCACTATTGTCGCATGAGTTCGACTTGTAATGTTAAAACTGACATTCCACTGTTGACGTTTAATAACGGAAAAAAGTTTCCAGTTCTTGGTTTGGGAACGTGGCAAGTAAGTTAGTATGCATTTTCGGCTATTATTTAAATTCCACTTTCGCAGTCGAAAGCAGGAGATGTAACTAATGCCGTAATGCATGCTATAGAAATAGGATATAGGCATATAGATTGTGCTCATGTGTATGAAAATGAAAAGGAAATAGGAACGGGTATTTCGATGAAAATTTCTGATAGAACTGTGAAAAGGCACGAATTGTACATCACCAGCAAATTATGGAACACTTTTCATGAGCCCTGTCTAGTCAAACCAGCTATAGAAATGTCCCTTTCGAATTTAAAAATTGATTACTTGGATTTGTATTTGATTCACTGGCCCTTTGCGTGGAAAGTAAGTTTATAATTATCTACAAATGCTTTGAACTGTAGTCTCTACAATTTGCACGATAATCCTATCAGAATGACAGCCACAACTCATGTTGTAACACGGGTTTATACTAACATTGTAAATTCTAGACAGTTAAAATTATTCCTTTGTTCCCTAGGGTCTTTCTTTCGATAAGTATCTTCTCTTTCAAAATTTATTAAAACTGGTAACAAAACCCATCTTGATAGGGTTGGCAAGCAAACTTGATAAACTGCATGAATTGGAACTTCCAATATTATAATTTTCCAGCAAATTAATATATATATATATATTAAAGGCAGGTGACGATCTATTTCCAAAAACAAACGAAGGAAGAATTATTTTTAGTAAAGTAGATTATGTGGATACTTGGAGAGCGATGGAAGAAGTATGTAAGAAGGGTTTAACAATGTCAATTGGTGTTTCGAATTTTAATGAAAGACAGCTAGATCGAGTTCTTCAAATTGCTGAAATACCACCAGTAACAAATCAGGCAGGTACTTAAAAATATAAGGGTAGATGATAGTAATGTAGAGTGATTATATCGAGTGGTGGTTTCAAATTAGAGGGAGTGGGCCATTGTATTAGATACCCCATAAATTTTTAATTTTAAAATTATGTATCCTCTATGTGAACCGCGGACCGGCACTGTTTATATCGATTAGTTGAATTTATGCTAAATTGGATAACGTTGAAGTTCAACAAAGGAATAAAGGAGGTTCTTAATAAAATAAGGAAGACATTGAGAGACAAATACCGAAGTTTCGTGTTGTTTAGTATGTTTTTGACATTAATAATTTATCAGTTTAAGTGGTTTGTACGTCACTGATAGCAATGAAAAACTTATTTATAAGTTTTTGAAGATTTAAATGAAATAGGTAGCTGTTTTGACTTCCTCAAGAATTCTTAATAAACTTATAATTCCTGATACGAATTGGTTGAGCTTCAGATTGAACTGCATCCATATCTTACTCAAAAACATCTGACTGAGTATTGTAAATCAAGGTCCGTTACGTTAACTGCGTTTAGTCCTCTTGGATCTCCAGGTCGTCCAAACCAATCAATAGGCGAACCCCAATTATTAGAGGACAAAGGTTTGAAAGAGCTCGCAAGGAAATATAACAAAACACCTGCGCAAATATTGTTAAGATATCAAGTGCAACAGGGACGTATAGTGATTCCCAAATCTGCAACTCCAAAGAGAATTAAGGAAAATACGGAGATTTTTGATTTCGAAATATCCAAAAATGATATGGAATATATTCACACTTTTAACAAAAACCTGAGATACCGTGCAGGCATTGAGTAAGCTCCAATAATTTAGATCATTGACGCCATTAGTGAAACATCTTTTTCCAGATCTACTGATCATGAACATTATCCTTTTAAGGCAGTTTCTTGCGCTTACTAAATTAAGATATCGATAACGAAAATTGGTAACTAGAGGATGACTCAACAGTATTATTACATAGCGAAATTGTACGAATAAAAGATTGAATATCATGATCAACTTTTGCCATTGTGTACCACTTTGTTGTAAATTAGAACAATAAGTAATTGGTGGATTGCAAGTAATGAGATTTTTAGTAGATCATGCATACTTCGTTTACTTTCTGTAGCGATGTGACCTTCAGTTTGACCGGCGCAAGGTAGAAAAGAACAGCACTAGGCCAGAAAAGGAAGGAGACAACTCTCGGCTAAACACTTAACCGTTGAGGAGCGTATAATCCGTACAGTACTGCACGGAAAAATTGACCATTTTATCCACTATAATTGCATTGCTCAAATGTGCTGTTATTGGTACCATTTACTACTGAAAATATCAACGAGACGTTTATTTATATTTGAAGACATATTAAAGGGCTTTAACGCTTGTTTTCGACTCGCACTACTATTCATGATTGAACAAAACTTTTGGCAGGTACTGTATGAAAAAGTATGTTTAATAAACAAGAGTCGAGGGTATAATGAGCTTTTTTCTCCCTACCTGCGATTTTGCCAGTGCGCAACTAAGACATTGGAAAGGGAAAATCGCTACAGAAAGTAAATGAATTATACTAAACCAGTAAAAGTTATTATAGGTGTTTCATTTAACTTCAGCATACAAATAAACTCAAGAGCAAATTTTATCATCATTATCTTTATTGACCACGAAATGTACAGAAAAATATATAAAATACAGTATCTATAAATATAATACACGTTGTTTTTTAACATAAGCATTGAATAATAAACACATTTAACAAGCCCACTCTCAGTCTAAGTTTACCTTTGAAACATTTATTTGTTCTTTGATCATGTAATTATTATTTAAACAATGTTTTGCAAGATTCCGACCAACAACCAGTACAAATAATAATATTTAAATACGATAAGGAATACAACTTTGTTACGTTTTCTTTCTTGAAGTTCCCATTGCTAATTCTTCAATTCAGTATTCATCGTTGAAGGGATAGTGGGGGTGTGTTGTAAACCTGCAAAGTGAAACAAACAAAACCATTAGAACAAATGAGCGTTATGTTGTGATAAAGAGTCAATTCATACTTTACGATTCTCTCAAAAGTGATACTACATTTAAATAACGCAACTGCCAGTATTGAAGGTTATTATTCCTTATTGCGATGTGAGCAGCTTTTGGCATTAGTTTTTTGACTTGTTCCTTCTAATCCTGTGAGACTCACGGTTGCAAAGATATTTACAACAAACGCAAATTACATCCTTTTTTCAAGTTAAATGGGGATTGCAACCCCATCATCATCTTCATAAGGTTGCCAGTCCTAAAACTGGTTGGTCACGCACCTCCACTCTTTCCTATCCTCAGCTAATATTCGCATTTCCCTAAAACTAGAGCATCCACCATCCTTAACTATTTGGGAAACTTTAATCTAATCTAGGTCTACCTCTACTCCTCTTAACTCATGTTTCTGTCTCTAATATGTCTCTAACTAGAGCTTGATGCCTGAGAAGGTGTCCTATCAACCTATCTCGCCCATTTTTTATTGATTTTAATAGAATCCTCTGCTCTCCTATTCTTTCTAATACCTCTTCATTTCTAACCTTCTCTATCAATGGTACATTAATTCGTCTGTAACACCATATTTCGAACGTTTCTAACCTTTTCTTTTCCGCCTTACCCTGCTTCTTCCGTCTCCTATCTTTATATTCGCTCTTTCCCCACTTTTTTTTTCGTTGCATACCAGTATTTTTGTTTTATTTTACTGTTTTGTCAATACCGTTTCCATTTTATTAAAAGCTATCTCTAACTCCTCCTTGCTAGATTGCAACCCCAACAGAAAAAAATTTTGCGTACCCAAAATGTTAACCTAATCCCTTCTTCAAAAATTTAACCAATAAAAGTTACTCTAGTTAATCTGTTTACTGAGAACACGTGTTCGCACACTTCCAATGTGATCATTAATAGGAAAGGTAGAAACACATGCCCATAATGAATAGGTTTTGTGATCACTAGGGTAGGTTCCTTTTTAGTTTAATTATTTATTCCTATACCATAGTCTCCGTTTTCTAGTTAACCGCAATATTTTGACCATCTCATGACATTGACTCCTTACCATCATCAAATGATTTGTTTTTTATTTTACATTTCTACACATACGCATGCACTTACCATTGCCACAATATTATTCTACCATTGCAGTCGAAAGAGTCGATATACTTAACATCTTCTGAAGTCAGTTGAAAATCAAACACGTCAATGTTCTCTTGAATTCTCTTCTTGTTTACCGACTTTGGAATGGCTATTAGACCTCTTTGGAGTAGATATCTGATGATAACTTGTGCATGGGTTTTTTTGTACTTGTCACCGATGATTTTTAGTTTACCGTCATCCAATAACTTTGGATCGTCTGGTTTTGCCCATGGACGATCAGGGGCTCCAAATGGACTGTAGGCGGTAATCGTAATTTCTTTTGATTTGCAGAATTCGGCAAGTTTCTTTTGATTCAAATACGGATGACATTCAACCTTCGCAGAAATACAAAAGTATAAGTAGCAAACAAACTATTTAAGTTCTTAACTCGTCGATGTTTTTGATGGTAAATGATCTAAATTTAAAAGAGGTACACTGCGTATGCCCTAAATGAAATCGATTTAATTTTGATGAAATACTTTTGGCTTAATCGTATTATTTTTCTTTAGCGCCTTTTCTGCATGATAATTGATAAGTCATCAGTTCCAGTGCCAGTATCAATGTAGGCAGATACATAGCTAAGGTGGGCCCAGGCTCATCAATTGAAACTCCTATTCCATATATTACCTCACCCTAAATATTAACTTCGTCTGATACAAATGTAAAATTCAAAAGTTTAGGACGCTTGGCTTATTGCAAAATTATGCGACGTTTTTATTTAAAGATGGAAAAAGAAATATTACTTTGTCCAAATTCAAGAACATTTTATTTTCGATGAAGGTGATATTCTAAATTACTTACACAAATAAACATGGAGTCTAAAGCATTGTTTACTTTTCCCGTCTTGCGGAGATAATAGATATAGATACTAAATATTATCAGGGATCTCAAGGTGTTTTGATTGTACTTAATGAGGCCCGGTGCAAAATGATATGCAGGTTAAACATACACTAAACCGAGGAAATTTAAAAGAAGCACCTTGGTTGTTAGATACCTACTTATTTTACTTCCTTTTCCATTTCTTAAACGTGTTTGTTTTTTTATCCTCGTTAGTTAAAGGTAGCTGAGGGTATGACCAGTTTATTTGAAGAGAACAAAAGAAATTAATTTATAATAAGACCTGTTGACAAGCACTTCACCTATTTGAGCCAAAAATATTCCTTCAAAGAGATGCAAACTAAGCAGAATTTATTATTATTGGAATGAGGTGTTAATAGGCAATACAACATACATAGAAGGTATCACAAAGAGAGTCTTTACGTCACTCACTTGATTGGTAACTGGTACAACTGTAGTCAATTGGAGAAGCCTTTCGATTTGTTTTCTATTAAAATTGGATATTCCAATTGATTTGACGAGCCCTTTTTTGTAAACTTCCTCCATTGCTTTCCACGTATCCACATAATCAACACCCTCTGGAACGACATGACCGTTTTCGTCTTTTTGGTATGAACCATCATCTCCTGGCTGCAATGAGTTTATTATTCACATGTCAATTAAATTGATAAAATTATCACGAGTGTCTAACTACTTTGACGATAATAGCAATTATGGCTTGGGTAATTCTTCTAGTAATCAGTATTAGATAAAGCTTTTTGGAGAGAGGAGACTTTCCTCTGCAAAATGATACTATTCTTAAATTTTTTAAAACGTGCTATTGATCGCAATTCTTGATTGAAGGGAACCCATTTGAGTTTCAAAATTATTCACTAAAGAGCTTGATTTTTATAGGCAATTCTCTTCAAACCTTGTATGCGTTTGATCAGATGGATGAAAGGATTTCTTCATACCTTAAAATCCATGGGAGCATGCATTAAATACAGATCCAAATAATCTAATCCCAGAGCCGTTAATGACTGTTTAAGTGCTGGTTCTACAGCTTCCGGTTTGTGGAAAGTACACCACAGTTTGCTGACAATAAAGAGGTCTTCTCTTTTGACAACTTTCTCATCAATTTTTGCCTTGATCGCTTCACCGACTTCCTTTTCATTTCCGTAAACCCAAGCGCAGTCAATATGTCTGTAACCGGCGTCTATTGCATCCTTTACTGCTTGCGTTACTTCTCCTGGTTTTGACTAAAATAGATAACCGACATTTCATAAATATGTGTATGAAAATAGAATTGTTCTGGGAAATCGATTGTTTCAGTTGCTACTCTTTAGAATAAGCAGAACATTTTTTTGCTGTGTTAAGTTCGCTTTAATGTATACGCAGTTATACAAAATAAATGTGGAAATTTCCCTAAAAAGAACCTGTAAATAATATGTACTGAATATTCATTGATTCACGTTTTATCAATGTAGCATTTTACACTTCAATTAGTTTGTAGCATGCTTGAAGTAATTTGTGGAAATGTTTTCCCTTAATGATGGGAAATACGTCATACTTATCAGGTCTTAACGTTAATTGTTCAGCTGCAAGTAATAACAAAAAAGCAACTACTTATGTAAAAGTGTAGAAAAAAGTAAAATTGTCCAACTAACCCTAATTTCATTTTATTAATTATACAAGACACAAACACAATGTTTAGTTGGGTACAAAATATTATTTACTGTAAAATCCATAATAATTATTAATTATAATACAGTAGAGGTGGAGAAATAGTATCAGACAATAAAATTACTATTGTAATTTTAGAATGAATTGAAAGAAGTATAAATATTCATAATTAAGCATTTTGTGCTTGTTTGTTGTGTAATTATGAAGTTAAAAGAAATTAATAGCCCCGATTATTTAATTTTGTTGTTATCTGTTCCAAGTTTTTATAAATTACTGAGTTATTTACATTCATTTAGAAAAAGCATAAATTCACCGAGGGCAAATAAAAATTGCAATCCAAACAATAAGTCACTGTATAATAATGTAAACTTTGATAAGAACGAAAATGTGCTATTTGAAGTATAAGAAAGTATTAAAAAATCGTTAACAGTGTTTTAAATTATTACTGTTTTTAACTAAAAAAGAAAAGTGGAATATTGTTAGCAAATCGAGAAAAAAATTTAGATTTAGAAAACCGAAAATTGTGAAATTTAATCAAGTACATTCTGTGCAACAAAGTTAATTTTTTGTTGTTTTTGGTAAAAGTATCACATCTCACTCACCTTCCATGTGCCTAGTCCAAAAACGGGAATTTCCAAACCGTTATTTAATTTCACTTTTGGTACTTGATTCGGGTTAACCATCGTAACAACTTTTTTACCAATAACTGCTAATAAAAGAAAAATACGTCCAAACGGATATACGCTTTGAAGGCTACTGGATTGTATGTAGTACGTTTATGTAATTATATACTTATCTATCCATATGTTGTGTAATTTTGCCTGTTTGTGACTGCTGCTATGTACAGTATCTACCTACATAAACAATTCAGCAGACTATAAATACGAACACCGGCTATAGTTTGATATGGAATAATCGATAACACTGTTTCAGGTGATTTCGCGAAATCAAAATTGAAAATTGTCTACTTGACTTTTTACTTTGAAACATTGACACCTGACGTAGCTACCTACCTACCCTAGATTTTTTTTTTTTTTAATATAATAATTCAAAGAGAAATTTTTAGCTTTAAATAAAATGGACGTGGTACTGACAGATCAATACTGTATGAAAATAAATAAAAGTAAAACTAAAATACTGATATGCAAGGGAAGAAAAAGTAGGGAGAGAGCGAATATAAAGATAGGAGACGAACAATTAGAAGAAGTGGCTGATTTTAGATACCTAGGAAGTCAGATAAGTGAGGATGGAAGGAGTAGTAGGGATATAAAGCAGAGGATAGCGCAGGGTCGTGTCGCCTTTAATAAAAAGAAGTCACTTCTATTCGAAAAAGGTTGTTAAAGGTGTATGTTTGGAGCGCGACGTTGTACGGGTGCGAAACATGGATAGTGGGAGCGGCGGAAAAGAAAAGGTTAGAAGCGTTCGAAATGTGGTGTTATAGGCTGATGATGAGGATATCGTGGGTAGAAAAGGTTAGAAATGAAGAGGTATTGGAAAGAATAGGAGAACAGAGGACTCTATGGAAGTCAATAAAAAATAGGCGAGATATGTTAGTAGGCCACCTTCTCAGGCATGAAGGTCTAGTCAGAGACATATTAGAGGCAGAAACAGGAGTTAGGAGGGGTAGAGGTAGACCTAGATTAAATTACTCTTCGCAAACAGTTAAGGATGTGGGCTGTCCTAGTTTTAGGGAAATGCGAAGTTTAGCTCAGGATAGGAAAGAGTGGAGGTACGTGTCCAACCAGTCTTAGGACTGATGACCTTATGATGATGATGATGAGAGAGAAATTAACTGATGAATTTTATCAATCATTCTTGTCTTTAGATACAGGTAAATCCATTTTATTTTTGTCCATCAAGGCGTAGCTAGTTGTCCTAAAATTTCTCAATTGTCGATTATAAGTCGCTTATCAGCCTAGCTGTTTTGTGTATTACCAGAATGACGTCAAAGAACCTTTTGACTTTATTATTTCTGTGATATCTACCAGTTTACCACCGCTTTCCGTTTTCATATCGATCCTAATTTATATTATAAATTTAATCAGCTTACATAGTTTTGCAATACATGATAGTGTGAGAGGGCAAACAAAGTTAGGTGCCTATATTGGATTTGGAACCGGTATATTTACTCATTTGGTGTAAACAGTTTACCTATATTTAGTACAGTACAGTAAAGCAGGACTGGACTAGCTAATAGTGTTAGCCTCAGTGGCTCTCTCCCAGAGAAGCTAAAAACGTAGCAACATTAAACATAAGCTTTTAATATCTCACAACCTATAAGCCCTAATGTTTTAAATTCCATAACTGATTCATTTAAAATCTCAATAATTCTTGAGTTTAAACCACCATGACCTCACAGCTCAAACGTTTTGGTCTCCAAAAGGAAAATGGGTAGGTACCTAGCTGAAGGTTATTAAATTTTACCATATCATCCCCTGTCCCGAACGTACGATTATTCCTAATATCAAGGACAAAGGCAATGTTAAAATCCTTAAGGAATAAAGAAATTTCGTCTCAGAAATTAGGGTAGGATATTTTGTACTTTAAGTAGAAGTACGATAAAATATCCATTTTTGGAGTTGTGTAGAGCAAAAGAAGATTAAGACTGTGTAGCATTAGTTAAGACCTTGAAAATTCGGAAAAATAAATAATTATTAACATATATTAATTTCAAAACTAGGACATTCAGTAGATCATCATTCTTTATATCCTTTCTGCTCCTTCCGTCCTGACTTCGTTGATACCTAAAATCTGTCACTTCTAATTTTTCGTCTCCTATCTGTATATTCGCTCTTTCCCTACTTTTTCTTCCCTTGCATACCAGTATTTTTGTTTTACTTTACTGTTTTGTCAATACCGCTTCCATTTTATTTAAAGCTATCTCCAATTCCTCCTTGATAGATGCTAATACTTCTATATCATCTGCAAATCTAAGCATACTAATCTTTTGCCCTTGCACATCTATCCCTACAGTTGTACCGTCTTTAATGATATTGATCGCGTCTTTGATGTATAGATTAAAAAGTAGCGGTAACAGTGTGCATCCCTGCCTGACTCCCTTCCTAATATTTACTTCTCTACGTTGCAGCCCCAGCTCTATAACTGCCTGTTGCTCTTTATACAAACTAAGTATCACTCTTTTATCTCTGTAACTTATCCCATCATAATTTAACTAATGCAATGATTAATAATAAAATTCCTTTTGAAATTGCTGGAAACACTGCCTTTATTAATTGAGACAGACTGTACGTTGTCAAGATAGGCTATCGATGGATGGTACGATATTTGGTATCTGACAACTCTAATCGAAAATGTATTATACATCTATATAATATATGTGTTAGGCCCGAAGACCGAAAACGCTCAGTGGCCGGAAAAAACGGCCACATCGCGTTCTGGCTGCCTTCAAACGCACAGAATGCGTTCTGGCTGTTTTTCAACGGTCGCAACGCGTTCTGGTAACTGTTAAACAGCCGGAACGCGTTTTGTCAATTGTTGTCGGGTATACAGTTAAAATTTGATTTTTTTTCAACTATTTAATTAAAAAAAAAACGCTCACAACGCGTTCTTAATGTTCGACTTGTATTATTTGCCGCTTTCTACCTGCGTACTATGAGATTTATATTGTACTTTTAATTTCAATCCATTTTTCAGTTTTTAGGAAACAATTCAATTATTGACAACACAACTATAATTGGATACCAAAGATGGGTTCGGTTTTTCTCGCCGAATCATTTCAACAATATTAAATTTCTTATAATTGTTTTTCTGTTCTAGGAAGAAAGTTACACTGAACACTTATATTGTGGAGCATATGATATACGAATGAATGAATGAAAAAGCGAAAAGTTATTCATTAAACAAATGAATTTCGACTTATTTTTTACACATTTAACTTAGTGTAGAGTACAACGCAAACTTAAATTCATGCCTTTTTTACTTTATTAGAAACGATTTAATTTTTGACAACCACAATTAAATACAAACGGGTTTTTCGAACTTTCAAGTACTTTATATAGGTATATTACTTATTTTTACAAGAACTGTTTGAATGACATTTCGAATTACATAATTCTCGTTTCGTATCTGATACAAACTTGTTATTGGGGAAAAAACAAATGCATATCGACTAATAATACGGTTATTGTCTCCAATATTTTTCATCATTTGTTGTTATTCTGTACAGTATTTTACCCGAATTTAATTCACTGCAAATGTTTGGTACATGGTTTAAACCGAGTAGCAGAAGCTGTTGTTGCGGTTGGAATACCCGGAGGTAAATAAATTGATTTCAAACGTAAAAAAAGTATTTATTAAAGCTCCCTTGAGAGTACAACATTATAAGGAAAGGCTAACAATATAAGTGTTCAGTGTAACTTTCTTCCTAGAACTGAAAAACAATTATAAGAAATTTAATATTGTTGAAATGATTCGGCGAGGAAAACCGAATCTATCTTTGGTATACAATTATAGTTGTGTTGTCAATAATTGAATTGTTTCCTAAACTGAAAAATGGATTGAATTTTATATGTTTTATATAAATCTCAACAACAACAGGTAGAAAGCGGCAAATAATACAAGTCGAACATTAAGAACGCGTTGTGAGCGTTTTTTTTTTTATTTTTAATTAAAAAGTTGAAAAAAAAATCAGATTTTAACTGTATACCCGACAACAATTGACAAAACGCGCTCCGGCTGTTTAACAGTTACCAGAACGCGTTGCGAGCGTTTAAAAACAGCCAGAACGCGTTCTGTGCGTTTGATGACAGCCAGAATGCGATGTGGCCGTTTTCTCCGGCCACTGAGCGTTTTCGGTCTTCGGGCCTAACATATGTATTTGTGTGTTCGTTTCTTTTTTCTTATTCGTATTATTTCGTAAATCGGCGTCGTGCTTCGACATTCCTTTGTGTCGTTTATATAAAAACACTGAAACATAATCATTGTTATAGACAGTATGCCGTGTGGTGTACTACTTTATTTAAAACGATATAATTTAACACAACGATTGCGTATCAGCTGGATGTTTATGTGAAGATAGAGTGATGGATTGCCGTAAAATGCGGTGATCACATGATTTTAAAGTTGTAATGTTCTATGGGAAAATTTTCAACGTAAAAAATAGGCGTCTGATAACGTTTTGTTGTTTTGTATAGCATTTATTTATAAGCATTTAAGAAACATTGCATTTGTTAATAAATTATTAATTAGGGAAGGCCATACTTGCAGTAAAATGTAACCACTTTGGGATTGGAAACATGTCTGTTTACTGAGCTTTTTGGGAATGGGATTTAAACGTTTTGTCAGATACAGAATAAAACTCTCGTTTTCTTTTCTTCATATTTCACATTTTGTCCCTTCATCTTTCCAACAATATTTATTTTCATTGCATTTGTTCCCCGTTCTAAACCTTCCTATAATTCTCATATCCTTTATTTCTTCTCAAATATTGTGGTCTTATATCTTCCTAGCAGTCTTCCCACAGTCACCCTCTCACCCCTTCTGCATATTTCGTCCTTTGTAAAGTCACGCCCAAATTGGGAACGGTGTCTTGACCATCTATGTTATGTCGCTAATCGGTTAATTATTAATCTTATTTACCCGATTATAATGTAATTTAATTATTTAAGCGTGACTGGGGGTCAGGTACTAAAATTATGCGAGGGCAAGTTTGAAAAACAATAACAACTTTATTATGTAAATATAAAATGATAAAGGAAATTGAAATAAAACATTTACAAAAAGGATCTTTCCCTCAATGTAGATCAATACCCAAAAAAGATAAGTCTGCTTTACTTACATTGACAGGAGCGTCGCAACCATCATCGCCCAGGGGTAGTGTCACCAACACTCAAAATTTGCCACC